TCTTGGTAGTTGGCCGGTGACAACTTCAAAAGGACTCTGATTGGTGGAGGAGCTCTTCTGCGTGTTGATGGAGAACTGTGTAATGTCTAGCAATTGAACCCAATTCTTCTGTGTAGCTGATACAAAATGGCGGAGTTACTCTTCAAGGAGGGAGTTCATTCGCTCTGTCTACCCATCTAACTCTGGATGGCTGTTGTTGGATAAGTTCAAGTTTGAACCAAGAAGCTTGAATAGCTCTGTCCAGAAAGCACTAGTAAATTGGGGATCCTGATCACTAACAATGTTCTATGGGACTCCCCAATACTTCACAACATGCTTGAAGAAAATATATGCCGTGTCTTCAGCTGAGAGGTGCTTTGGTGCTGGGATGAAAGTGGCATACTTGGAAAATCTATTAACAACAACAACAATGGATGCATAGTCCCCCACCTTTGGAAGACCGCTGATGAAGTCCATGGAAACACTCTCCCAAGGTTGTGAGGGTGTTGGAAGAGGTTGTAGGAGTCCAAGTGGCTTGGCGCGCTCAGGCTTGTCTTGCTGGCAAATCAAGCATGTCCTTGTATATTCCCGAACATCTTCCTCCATGCGAGGCCAATAGTAGGCATGTTGTAGAAGGGCCAAGGTACACTGCCACCCAGGGTGTCATGCCCATAAGCTGTCATGACATTCACGTAGGAGAGTCTTCCTCAAGACTTCAACTCTCGGTACAAACATTCGCCTTCCCTTTGTCAAAAGAAGGCCTTCATCAACCCAAAATCGCCTAGTATTCCCTTCACGAGTCACTGCCAATAAACTCTGAGCAATGGGGTCCTTCTGGAGTCCTTCCTTGATGCGCTCAATGGGGTCCAATCTGATTTGGCTTCTAGAGGGACCTTCACCTGTGGATAAGGCTGCAAGCTTTGCCTTCCTGCTAAGTGCATCAGCAACCCTGTTCATCAGCCCTGGCTTGTACTCTAGAGTCATGTCAAACTCCGCTAAGAAATCTTGCCATCGAGCTTGCTTAGGGCTCAACTTCTTCAGTGACTGAAAGTAACTAGTAGCTATGTTGTCAATCTTGACCACGAACTTGGAGCCAAGCAGGTAGTATCGCCATGTGCGGAGGCAATGGACAATGGCAATCATCTCCTACTCTTGCACAATGTACCTCCTCTCTGTGTCATTCAATTTGCGGCTCTCATAGGCGATGGGATGCCCTTCTTGCATCAAGACCCCACCAATGGCAAAGTTAGAAGCATCTGTGTGTAGCTCATAGGGCTTTCTAGGGTCTGGCAAGCCGAGGACAGATTCTACTGAGACAGCTCTCTTCAAATCATCAAAAGTTGTTCGACAAACTTCATTCTAGGTCCAAGTGCTATTATTCTTCAGTAAGTTGGTGAGGGCAGTGGCTCATGCCGAGAATACAGAGATGAATCTTTGATAGTAGTTCACGAGGCCAAGGAAGGAGCAAAGCTCGGTGACCCTGGTGGGAGGTGCCCAATCCTGAATGGCCTTGACTTTAGTTGGATCCATGCTGATTGTGCCTGCTCGAATCACATGGCCGAGGAAGGCCACCTCTCCTGTGGCGAAAGAGCATTTCTCCTTCTTAACAAACAGGTTCTTGTCTCACAAAACCTGGAAAACAGTACAGAGGTGGTCAACATGTTCCTCCAAGGTTCTACTATAAATTACAATATCGTCAATATACACAACAACAAATTGGTCCAGGTAGGGATGAAATATCCTATTCATCAATGTACAAAAGGTGGCTGGAGCATTAGTGAGCCCAAAGAGCATGACAAGAAACTCAAAGGACCCATATCGGGTAACACAAGCTGTTTTGTGTTCACCACCTTCGGCTATACACGCTTGATAGTACCCCGACCTCAGGTCTAGATTGGTGAAGTACTTGGCCTGGCTGAGCTGGTCAAAGAGGTCGGCCACCAAAGGTATGGGGTACTTGTTCTTGATGGTGAGCTTATTGAGGGATCGGTAGTCAATATAGAGCCGAAGAGATCCATCATGTTTCTTCTGAAATAGGACCGGTGCTCCAAAAGGGGCCTTAGAAGGCTGAATCAACCTAGCATCCAACAACTCACTCAACTGCTTTCGGAGCTCAGCCAGCTCAGGAGGAGACATTTTACATGGTGGGCGTGCCGGTGGTTTGGTTCCAGGCTCCAACTCAATCTTGTGATCAACTTCTCTCATTGGGGGAAGCTTCTTTGGCAATGTGGGAGGCATGACATACTTGAATTTTTCTAGCACTGTTGTAACTGCTGGCGGGATATGCCTGCTTGGTTGGCTAGGCAGGTCGGAGTCCACCAATGTGGCTAAGTAAGTGGTTTCTCCTTTCCGCACTCCATCTTTAAGTTTCAATACTGAGAGCATCTTGGGGGTGGACTTGGTCTCTGGCACAACTGGAACCATGTAAGGAGCCTGATCTTCGAATATGCACATTGAATTGAGGAAGGGCATGGGCACCGCCTTTACTTGAGTTAAGAATTCCATGCCAAGAACAACTTGAAAATCATCCATGGGCATGACCGAGATGTCTATCTTCCCTTCCCAGTCACCAAGTTGCAAGACCATCCCACGAGCTACACCTTGTATGGGCTTGGCATTAGAGTTCACAGCCTTCTACCATCCAAGCGGATATCTATATACATCAGTCCCTTCGGCTTGTATGGTGCAAGAAGCACCATACGAGCTACACCTTGTGGGTTTACCATTCAAGCGGATATCTATATACATCAGTCCCTTCGGCTTGAACTTTGGTGCTTCTTGCGGGTTCACCTTCTTCTTCATTGTATTGAGTCTTTGTAGAGCCCCCATTCTTGTCTCCTCTGATTATTTCTCCTCCTCGTTGTGCTCATCATCACTAAGCTTTGAAAGCAAGGCATGAGTTTCCTCCGACTAGGACAATCCTTGGTCCAAAGTTTTCCCTCACAGATGAAGCATGGTGAGGGAGGTGTCATCTTCCCAAATTGGCCACCCTTGTAGCCAAAGTCCCCCTCAGGTTTCTTGTAGAACTTGAAAGTGTTGGATTTACTTGGCCCGGAGTCTCCCTTGGGCCCATAGTAAGGTTTCTTATCACCTCCTGTCTTCCCTTAGCCCTAATATGAGTTGGATTTAGGGCCACCCTTTCTTGGTTGCCTGTTGTCTACCAATTGTTCAGCAACAGCCATGGCTGTGGTGAGGTCCTTCATACATCGTCGTTGGAGTTAAAGCTCGGCCCATTGTTGCAGGTCGTCCATAAAGTTGAAGAGCAAATCCTTGTCTGAAATGTCCGTGATCTCGAGCAATAGTGCGGAGAACTCCTTCACGTACTCGTGCAATGAGCCCATGTGCATTAGGTTCTTGAGCTTCCGACGGGCTTGGTACTCCACGTTCTCTGGATAGAACTGGCGCTTTATCTCACTCTTGAACACGGACCAGGTATCAATGGAGCATAATCCTCGCTCCACATTGGCACATCTCCTGCACCACCATAACATAGCAACATCAATAAGATACATAACAACAATACGCACCTTGGCCGCCTCCTCAACAAGTTCGACGGCGATGAAGTATTGTTCCATTTGCCACAGGAAATTGTCAAGTTCCCGGGCATCTCAGGTTCTTGCATATGGGATAGGCTCGCGGACTTTGATCTTTGGAGGGGCTGGAGCAGCAAGGGCACTAGTTGTACTAGCCATCAGTCTCTTCAAAAGGGTCACTTCGCCCTTCAAGTCGTCGAGCTGGGTCTGTAGGCACTTCACCAAGTCTTCTAGTGGGTTGCCTAGCCATTGGAGTTATCAACAGACTGGTCCTCCAATCTTCCAACAACTGTTGCCACAGTCTCAAGGTTGAGTTGAAGCTCGTCCACACGATCATGAGTTTCACCAACCACTACTTCACAGCGCATGATGCGCTTGTCCATGGTAGCAAGCTTGTCAACCGACTTGTCACGCTTGCTAGGCTTTGAATTGGCGCCTTTGTCCTTGGGAGAGCTACCTCTAGACTCGTCCTCATCATAAACCCGTGAGATCCCTTCCTGGATCTCCTCTAGCATATCTCGCTTATTCATCGGGCTGGTGTTGTTGTAGGGCATGATAGGGGCTCGTTGGGCTTGACAATCGCTAGTGTCAACGAAGCTCTGATACCAACTGTCACGGGACTATGTGTTGGGGCCCCGTGTGGCACTCGTTAGTCGACGAGTAAGCCTATGAAGCCAATAAGAAAGCAACAAAACAACAACAAATGCGCACAAATTAGACAAAATACTCTTTGTATTACATAAATTGGTGGCAAGCACAAGCACACAATTTAGTGTCGAGGGGATCTCGTGCTTAACCTTTACACGTTAATGACTCACTCCACTACCTACCTCCCCTCAAAGAGTACTTTAAACTTTTGGGAAAATGATAAAATAATACATCAAAATATTGAATATTCATAACCCAACCAAAACACATGAAGACACTTAGATGGCGTGTCACATTAGGGTCCCCAAAATTAGTGGGCAGGAAAACCGGTTTGCTCTCTAACCTACCATTGATCACGAATTTGGGCCAAATAGTGGATCGAAATTTGTAGCACTTGGGTTTGTAACGTTCATCTGGGCCTTTCGAGACGTAGGTATTGGGCTTGAGTCCAAGGGAAATCAGGTCCAGTACATAGACATTGACACCTACTATTATTATTTATAGATAATCTTCTAAAAAAGGCTGACTTAGTCATCCAATGAACGGCGATAGAACCAGCGTGTACCAATTAGATTGACTATTCGTGTTATAATAAAGACTTGGTTATACACAATTGATTTGAAAAACTCATTCAGCTCTTGTGTGATGCAAAACCCGCCAAGAGAAGAGAGGGACCGAATATGCGTGTTGATGTGACATTTCATGCATTATACGCGCTTTGTATGCCCCCCCCCGCGATCACACTCACAGAACCGAGCTGCGTGATGGATAGACATTCAGGTTTTGGCACTTACCTAATTATAAACATTTAGTTATTATTATCATTTATTATTCCTGTCTTCTTCGCTCACTGCTGCTGTATTTAACCGTTTATTTGTACCCCCAAATTCATCTTCTGAGTATCGGTTGCCTCGCTAGTTCTTTGTAGTTGATGATCATCGACATCTACTTGTTTTTCTCCCGAACCTTAAGTATGTCGCAGAAGCGGCAGCCAGAAGACGGAAAAGTTGGGTCGGGAGGCAACAAACCCGATGAGAAGCGCCGAAAGGTTCCTGCCCTGAGAAGGTGAGAAAATCTCAACACCTCCACCTCCCTTTTTCTTCTCTTGCTGATGATACCAGTTCTTGAAGTGTGCTCAGGTCTGTGAAAATTTAAGTGGGTTTACATTGTAATTGAGAAATATAGATTGGTTTTGCCTTCTTTTTTTTTTTTTTTGAAAATAATGAAATATTTTGTCTTCTTGAAAACCGAAGTGAGTTCTCTGAGTTTGTGGCGAGAAGCAACAGAGAAAGAGATAGATTGGTTTGTGCAGTTGTGCTCTTTATCGTCAGAAGTTTTGCTTATTGTCATGAAATGAAAGAAAAGAAAAGAAAATGAAATACGAGTTACAACTTAGAACTAGGCTTGTTGCCAAAAAGAGGAATTGGTTTTGGTTAATTTCCTTAAGTAGATTTCGCCTATGTAATTTTGAAAATTATTCAATTGCAGCCTGCATGTGGACAGCGGTTTCATTGGTGATGGTGAGAACAGTGAACAATGATGATAATAAATTAATAATTGTACAAAAAAAAAAGAAGTTTGATCACCGCTTGGAGGAATTGATGGTTACAATTGGATCATAATTGTAGGGAATCCATTGTTATGGTGGATTAGCGTATCACCGAGGAAACATAACAATTTGTTTTGGAACTCGGAAAGAACGAAACACAATTTCCAGCAGGGAAAATGGCATAGCTTTTTTATTGGAGAAATTGTCGAGGAAGATAGAGCTTTGTACTGGTCTAATGATATGGGGAAAAGGAATTCTTTGAATTTTGCATGTGAGGAGTAAGAAATTAAGAACCATTAAACATTTTTCTTGTCTTCAATTAGGGAAAAGGAAAAATGTGAAATAATATAAAACCAATCTACTTATCAAAAAGAAAAAATATAAAACCAATCAGTCATCATATAACGATAACCGGCTTACTTCTAGTTTCCACTTTCCAAGTCTTAACCTTGATTCTTAGTTATCGACTTATTGTCTTTCACTTTGCTTGTACCTGCTATTCTGTTAATTATTCTAACTCTGTTTTTTTTTTTTTTTTTTCTTTTTTGATGTCTTATTATGACATTAGTGTGGTATTGGAAGTGGTGAAGATGCAAGCCATTCAGACAATCCTTTCTACTTTGGAGCCCTTGATCCGTAAAGTTGTAAGTGCATCAATCCTTTCTACTTTGTCAAATAATTTGTCTTTAGTAATATTAAAATAGTTGCTACATTTTCGCTTTAAGGTACTGAATGAAGATTCGAAGTTTGACATTCCATTTCTCTGTGATTTTGATGCTACCAGAACCTTACAAGTAATTCCTAGTTTTATGTGTCATGACAATCCTATCTGATTCTAGGGCTGTCTCCACATTATCTTTTCCCAAGTTTTGGCCTTGGCTACTTTGTTGCTACAGATGCTTGGTGCATGTTTATTGGTTCTAGAATATCATTCGGAGATCTAATTTGGGACTAATTTGTATCATTAAATCATTATGCAACTATCATATAATTGGGACTCATTTATCTACTTTGCAGTTTTCAATAACATTTGCCTTGGTTCAAGTTCAGTAGCTTTCTTCTTTTTTGGACTATCATGCATTTGGCATTGTTTTTTTGTCCATTTTTTGGTTGCACCTAAAGAAATATTATTGTCTAAAAATCACTGACCTGCCATTACTAGGGAAAATTTATGAGTTAAAATATTGTTTTATTAGGAGGGATGTCATTTGCTTTCTGTTTGCAATACCTCTTAGTTTTCTGTACAGCTTCTCACTGTATAGTTGCTGATTTATGTCTAGGGGTAATTGCCCTTTTTTTTGTCTAATGAAATTATACTTTATTAGGATATACTCTTCCATGCCTTGATTATTTTTGTGAAGCCATTGGTAAATACTACAAGATGGTTTGATGATAAAAAAAATACTACAAGATGGTTTGTTGATATGTTGTTGGAATATTCAGGTAAAAGAAGAAGTTGAGGTGGCATTAAGAAAACATCTGGCCAGCATTAAGCAGTAAGAACTAATTTTACATTGACAGTAGTATTTAATTTCTAACCCCTTCAAATGGATAATTGCATGGTTGATGATTATCTTTTTATTTGTTATACAGAAATTGCAGCAAACAGGTATATCCATCTACAACAAGAAGCCTACAACTACAATTTACAACTAAGCTTTCCCTTCCAGTTTTCACTGGAACAAGAATTGAAGGAGATGAATGTTCTGCCATAAAGGTAGCTTTAGTTGATGGCCTGACAGGGCAAGTTGTTGATTCAGGTCTTGAATCTTTGGCAAAGGTGGAAATAGTGGTTCTTGAGGGAGATTTTGAAGGCGATGAAGAAGACAATTGGACAGTTGAAGATTTTAACAATAACATTGTTAGGGAAAGGGAAGGCAAGAGACCACTTCTTACAGGAGATGCCTTTCTAAATCTTAATGAAGGCATTGGCATTGTAAGCGATCTGGTTTTTACAGATAATTCAAGCTGGACAAGGAGTCGTAAGTTCAGGTTAGGGGCAAGAGTTGTGGATGGCAATGATGGAATTAGAATAAGAGAAGCTAAGACAGAAGCATTTATGGTCAAGGATCATCGTGGGGAATGTGAGTATTTTTTTAATATTCTTTTCTCTAAGCATATTAAGGTTTCATGTCGTCAAAATCTCTTGCGAATAAACTAGTTATGTGAAGGGGGGCTGTGAAGGGGGGATTTATTCCAAGGCTAGTGGGAACTAATCCATTGGGTTTTTCAGCCAAACTGGCCTAGAACTCTCATATGAGTTGTCAACCACCATAAGAAGACTGATGAAATGAGTAGCATTTATATATCAAAATTGAGAATGAAAAATTCTGTAGGAACCATGTCTATGGAAACAAACTAAAATCCACTAAGAACTGTTGCGTTTTAAAATAAGAAAAAGAAACCAACCCTATACCCATTTTCATTTTCAAATTATCATGGCAAGAAGGAACAGATTGAGAAAGAAAAGTTTCATTTATCAAAACTAGAAACTGTTTAAGATGACCAACCTAAATATTTTGGGGGGAAGGGGGTTTTAGGCTGAAACTTGGCACTTTAGTAGATTCTTCTTACTCCGACTACTCTGCCACATGAAGTTTTCTTGCTCTGCCTGCCAGTGTTATGAGAGAGGAAAAAAGCTCCTTTCTGCTTGAGCATCGCTTTGTTACTCTGTTCGTGTAGCAAAGCTTTCTCCTTAGAAATGTATGCAGCTAAGAAATAGACAGCTAAGAGAAAGAAAAGTGCATTTCTTGACATATAAATTGGGGTATGTCATGGATATCAGGAAAGAAAAGGAAAAAAGAAAACTAATTTAGTTTTTTTTTTTTTTCTTTTTGCAGTGTACAAGAAGCACTACCCTCCCTCTCTTCTTGATGAAGTATGGCGTCTGGAAAAGATTGGTAAAGACGGTGCTTTCCATAAGCGATTACGGAGGGAAAATATCAATACTGTGAAGGACTTCCTTACCTTGCTCTGTATAGATGCTTCAAGGCTCCGAAATGTAATAATCTACTGCCCCTTGTCATATTCTTTTAGCATTACATCTATCACTTGAAACTCAATTTACTATCCACATACCATATTTTATTTAATTGATCAAATTGATATTGTCAGTTATTATCATTATAAACCAGCTTCATATTTGTATTCTAAAGTATATGCCTTTTTTCTTCACTAACTTGTAATTGTTGACTTTGAAAGAAATAACCTAGTTTTGCATTTATGTTAGAGTCCATTTGAGTAGTGTTATAAAATAATAAGGTATTGGAGGATTCAATTCATTGTTTAACCTACTTTTACAAAATACAAGAATTGATATTCCTGGTTCTAAATTTGTGGCAGAAGTTTTGAAGATGACATATCATGTAATTGAAGGGAAAATAACTCTTTGAATAAAAAAAGCAAAAAAACTCCTGGATAAGTTTTTGATAAATTCCAGAAAATGGCCCTCTTGTATTGAGATAATTTCCCCTCCTATAATGATATCTCATACTGCATCTATAAAGTTGCATTAAACAATTTTCAGCAGTTGTAACTGTTTAAATTGAAGGTTTTCATGTTTGCAATTACATGCATTTATAACCATATTTGGTTACAGATTTTAGGCAGCGGTATGTCTGCTAAAATGTGGGAAGTCACTGTGGAACATGCTCGGACATGCACACTCGATAATCAAATGTATGTATATTACCCTCTAGATGCTCAGCGGAGAGTGGGTGTGGTCTTCAACACTGTAGGACAAGTTATGGGGCTCCTTTCTGAACAGCAATATATTCCTAATGACGATCTATCAGAAACTGAAAAGGCATGGTTTCTTTCCATCTCTGAGTTGCTTTTCCTCCTGCTACTGCAGCTCCTCTAACTTTATGATGAACTGTTCTAACAGGTTGATGCACAAAAACTTGTAAAAGTTGCATTTGAACACTGGGAGGAAGTAGCTCCTCTGGAAGCTGGGTCTATTAATGGTGACTCTTCACACTTATCCAACACTGTTTGTTTTCCCTCAAGCTCACCTGGTTTGGAGAATTCGTTTGGTAGCAAGTTCCTAGGTTCTCATCAGTCAGGTGGATTTGGTTTTGACCAAGCAAATGCTACATCTCCAGATCTTGTTTCATCCATTTTATCCATTGGGGGTATGAGGAGCTTGGACAGTTACAGCTTGCAAGGTGAAGACAGCATGGATTTTAGATATGACCATCCTACCACTTTTGCAAGCCAAGTTACAACCCCCCTTATCAGTGACACAGAGTCCATGGCAGCCTTCTATGGTGAAGACCATCTGCAATATTTTGATCAAGATCATGTTCTTCAATCTCAGAGCCTCATTTTGGACCCACAGGCCGACTTACAGAGTGCTGTCAGTGGCTTCCTCACCAAGGCTGGCCCACCAGTTAAAGCTAACACACGATGGACAATGTTGTACAGCCTTCTGAGATGGAGATTCTCGATACGTAGGATTATGGCTTCAAGGAAGAGTCGGCGGGTTAGAGATGGAGAGATATGCTTAATAAAGGATTTGGAGAAAATACACATGCAAAGTAATGGATGCTCTCCGACCGAGTTCTGTGTGCAGCTGTAAAGTTACAAAGCTTTTTAAGTTGTATAGAACGTAGATTGGTGGGTAAAGGATTTCGTTGTCTTGTTCGTTAGACTTATTAGAGAAGACAACACAGTTTCTTTTTGTCATATCAAAACACACATACAGTTGCTCTGTACAGAATAATGCAAGCTGCCGAAGCATATAGGATGCTTCATTTCTTATAACTGTTTGTAGATCGATATCAAAGGGAGATCCGTGCATTTGGTTTACCAAGGAATGGAATCCCTGCACTCATAATCAAGGGTTGATTTCCTTGTTCTTTGTTTTCTACTCTTAGCAGGTTGCAACACCAAGTGCCCTCGTAGTAAGAGCACATCTACTGAACTACTACAAAGCCACCCTCCTTCAAGAACATGGCAATGGAGTACGTTGAGGCTCTTCCACAGAATGGGTCCCAACTAAGAAATCGCCTTAGACCAAACTCCAATGATTAACATGCTTAGATGATTACCGCAGTGTATTTCTTATCAATAATAATAATAAAAAAAAAAGTTCTTGTGGGTGGTTGACAAATCTTTTCTTCCATTTAATTTGTTTTAGCCAATATACCAATACTTCAAACTTCAAAAAAATTACTCTTGATAGAGCATAATAATGGAGGGAGGGACAAGATTTGTGCAACTGAACCCAAATAGTCGGGATCAATTCCCAGTTCAATTCATTTACTAAGGACAAATATAAAATATTAAATTTAGGTGGAAAATAAAATATAAAACTATCAACAAGGTGGACAAAATAGTCCTATTGCTGAAAGAATTTTTTATTGAAGTATTTAGAAATAGCCACTGATCCACAGAGAATTCAGAAGCATTGGACATATTTGAGGAAGTACACTACGAATGAAATAAGTACTTAGCAACAACGGTAAAGATAACCCACTTCAACTGCAAGTCTGTGCAACCAGTGTAATCTTCTAGCACGAGTCTAAGTATTCAGGTACTCATAAGTGTCGAACATGTCTACGTCTACCTCCAGAAATCTCATATGGCCATAAATCAAAAACTAAATTGCGTATAATTTAAAACCTAATGCTTGGCTAGATCTAATCTAATAATTCTTTTGTAACACTTCCACTGAAAATATACATTCCGTCATCTAATCATCATATCAAATACACTTGTCTAAACCTAATGCTTGGTCGTGCTGCTGTACTTTATGATATAGTTGTAATTAGATCCCCTCTATTAGAATCCTCTAATAAGAGGCATGAAAAATACCAAAATATCCACGCAGTTACTATTGGGGTTGATTTTTACAAAAAAAAAATACAAATTTTATGAACAACAAAAAAAGAGTTTAATGTTATAGTTTTACCTTGGCACGATTGATATGAAGGGAAAATTTGAAAAGCAAATCAATTTCGGCAAAGATATTGGAGAGGCTTTGGTAGGGGTGACCACAAGTTGAGCTTTTCACGAGCTCAAGCCCAATATATTGGCACATTTGCTAATCGAGCTGAGTTTGAGCCCAGTGAAGCTTGGCTCATGAGGTCTGCGAGCCTAATCAAGCCTAGTATAATAATAAATATTTTTTATTATATATATACATCCATACATTTACATATAAATATTTATATATAATAAATAATTCTTAATTTTTTGTATGTAAAATAAAAAATATTTTTATATGTATAATTTTTATTTTTTAGAAAAAGCTTGACTTGTAGTTGAACTTGAGCTGAGTCGAGCTCAAACTTACGAGCTTTTGAACCAATCCGAGTTCGAGCTCAAGTCTCTAGCACAAATCGAGCTCGAGCCTAACACTATTTTTGCGAGCCGAGCTCAAATAGCCAAGTATTTAGCTTGGCTCGGCTCGAATCCATACTTTAGCTTTGGGTAGTGGTTGATATGAAGAAAGAAATATGAAAAAAAAATGTTTTTGTCAAAAGTAACTGTATGGGTATTTTGGACATTTTCATGCCTTTTGTTTGAGAGTTCTAACAAAAGGGGTTTATTTGCAACTATATAAGTTCAGCAGAGGTAATTATAATAAACAAACTTCAGGGGAGGTCTCAGCAATTTATCCCCTCCAAAAAAAAGAAAAAAAAAAAGAAAAGAAAAACCTTCCTTACATTTACTCATTATTGAGATAAGCCAAGCGAAAAGTAATAAATAAGGCTCATCCCATGTTGTATTGTAATCCCATATCATCTCCAATCGTCTAAAGTAACCCATGTATACATTATAGTATCCTACCTTTGCCGTGAAACTAGAAAACGCAACCATTTCAATACCTTGTCTTCCCAAGTTGTTATTATTATTTTTTATCAAAGTATTAGAAACACAATCATTTTAGCCACCTGTTTCCGGATTAATAGTCCGACCATTTGGTTTGAATAGTCGGTTTGTTTTAATAAAAATTAAAAAAATAAAAAATAAAAATAGAAAAAAAGTGTTGAACAGGTCGATGAATCAACGATTTGATCGCCCAGATTATTGACTTTTTTCAACGGTTTGTAGTCAAATACCAGTTTTAGGGTAAAACAGAATCGATTGTATGAATGATCCCCAGGCCGAACGGTCAGACCGTCCAGGTCAATAGCGGTTCAAAAACCATGACATGAATAAGTAAGTATTCATAGATACTTTTAAAGTATTTGAATAAACTATGAATTTGAATTTGGATTTCCTCCGACAGCATGTTGCAACTGCATCGGTAGCATCTCTGTATCAAATTCACGGCTGCAACCTGCAAGTGCTGTGAGGTGGGTGTTACCGTGTCACGTATGAGAGGAAATCCAGATTCATGCTGCCCTGTACAGCGTTGCACTTGATCTATGTTTGGGACATGTGGAACCCATATTTCCTCATCTTTTCTTGGGAATACAAGAGAGTGTTTTGGCGCTTCTTCAAACAACAACAAAAAAGATGTTTGGCCCGTATAGTCACATGTTGACAAAAACAAAGCTGTTGATGAATGTGATTTCTAGGTAGGTTGGAGAGACACAGAAACCCACTAGAACCTCCATTAAACGTCGAAACAGTTACACCTGCTTTTGGAAATACGCCCATCGAGGTGTGTTGTCAATTGACTCAATATACGAGCTACGATAATGACAGAAGTGAAAACCCTTCATGGATGTGACTTTGGATCAATCAAGCTAATTTGGTGGTTTAAGGAGCAGGAGGGAATGGAGTTGGTCAAGATTGAGTTTTCAGAAAGCACTCCAAAGCCAAAGGTGGAAAGTGGCACATTGTGCTTGTGGTAATAGACGAGAGGTTACCTACACTCCTTCAGAGTTCAGGCAGCCTGAGCCTGGAGACCCGACCAATTCCCGACTCCTGAGCCTGGGTTCCACCCCCGGCTATCAATGTATGGTGGAAAGCGATTGGACGGGTCGAACCCAGTCTTGCACAAGCCCATTACAATCCATAGAATTTCTTGGCCAGCAGATGGCTCCCTATTGCTTAACCCTTTTACTGCAACTTGGGGCGTTGTATCATTTTGCGGATTCCCACTTGAAACGATACACCGCAGGTGCAGACGTGTGGTGTAAGATGATTCAACTATCAGGTCTTTGGCAACCAATATTTCGGGTTGAACAATTATACACCAATGGGCACTGATGGTGTGCAATCCGGTCACTCCTACCTGGCACTCACGTGGCTCCTGAGAGGTACCTGAGACGAGAAGAAAGAAGAACTCCCGGGGGGGTTTGCCCGGCGGAAACACTCCGATGATTAAGTCAGTATTCTGTGTGATAAGCAAAGGGAAAACGAAGGCTAAGAGTGAAGATTGCACAGGTGATTTGAAGATACCTTGTTCCTTGAAAATCAGCTTCTTATAACAGAATTCCGTTGCTTCAGGCCCTCTGGCTTCTAACAGGGCAGATATAACCGCCACTGTCAGTCTGCCACAACCGTTACAAGCAAGGCTGAGGTGGCACGTGCGAGGCCGTCGTTGCAGGGTACGTGCCTGTCAGGTGTAAGGCACTTTCTAAAGGTGGCAGGCGCGACGCTGTCTGACGAGGGGCATGGCTGCTGTCCCCAGATTTGTCGGGTATGGTGGTCGGGCAGGAGATCCTTCGACAGTGCGCCAAACTACCCTTTCGCGAGTTACCCTGTGCCGGGCTATCCCATAGGCGGCGAGCTGCCTATGACAAGCTATGCCGAGCTACCTGGCCTGAAGTGTTTTCACTCCGGGGTGTCTAGAGGTGGGTCGGTGAGCTCCCGTCGGGGAGTGGTCCGAAGTCCAGCGGGAGGAGCTCGGGTATAGAGAGAGGTCAGGGTCCCCCGACCTCGGAGTATCCCGAAGTGCCTTAACCCCGGGGAGGAGACGTAGGCAAGACGGCTTCTGGCGAGTAGTTTATCCGTCTAGTTGCCGAGCTCAACTCGATGGGACCCTCCCCCCGAGTTGTAGTCATGTCAGTTGCGCTGTCACATTGAGTCACTGTTTGAGCAAGGTCACGCCCATGTGTACCCGTGCTGCGAGGTCGGGCCAAATCACCCTCCATCTATTGCCCCCCACTCCCTGCGCTAGTGGCGATGACCCAACGCGGGGAGGTCATGAAGCGTCGAGTGGATTTGGCGTCGATATTTATGCCGCCTTGTCACGCGCTCCGTCCAGCTGGACCGGTCTAGCGCCTGGTTTGATCGAAAAAGCACTCGAGTCGCGTCCAGATCACGCACGGACTTCACGCGACTTGGACTTCGCAGACGTCAAAAACGCGCTAAATCATTTTTGCCTCGATGAACCCACAACTGTGGCTATAAATAGGGGGTCCCTTGGCCATTTTCTTCGCCACAAAGCTTTCGTCGTTAGCGTTTGAGGTTACGCCAGGGGTCTCTTAGCTCGGGTCTTCCAGTTCGTCTTGTTCTTCTAGTCTGGTTGCGTTTCTTTGGTGAGTCTTCCCGAGCTTCCTTTTCCCTTTTAGTTTGTTTCTTTCCCTTCGGTCTGCTATGTCGTTTAGCGTAGACAGCCTCATTGATGAGCCCGAGGTGGGTACCTCGGCTCGGGGTGTCCCTTCTGCCGCCCAGCCATCCGATGTACGGGTGGCTTCGGGTCATCTGGCATCCACCTCCCACCGAGGTCGGGTGCCAGATCAGTTCGGCCCTTCCACCATGACTGTGGAAAGACTCCAGGACCTCATACAGAAGTTCTATCTTCCTGGGGAGTACTCTTACAGTCTTCCTACCAGCAGTTTCTCATGGGAACACGACCCTGATGAGGGTTTTTAGGGAACAATTAGTAGTCGGGCTCCGACTTCCTCTCCACCACTTAATTTCTGAGGTGTTGGTGCACTTCAACATAACCTTGGACCAACTTCAC